AAGTGTATAGGGATTGTGTTAAAGCACTTGCTACTAATTACTACTGGAAAACAGAAGGTAACAAAATTAAACATAGGGTCATATGATTCCTTTGTGCGACGGTGAACTGAATGCACTGGCTTCTGCCCTTTACTTTTATTCCCAAGGATGAGGTTCACCAAAAATCCTTCCTTTTTGTGTGGAGGCCTCTCTTCCCAGAACACAGGTCTGCAAACGAAGCTTACACATACTAACTGATGTCTTCTTGTCTCAAGTAGATAACTGGCGCTTCTGAGGGCCTCCCACATAGGCATGTAATGGTAGCAATGGAATTAAGAACAAATGTGATTCTGCCAACCTTGTTTTTCCAAACCAAATGGCTAAAGCTTAATGTTGTAATTCCAAATATATGTTAACTGTAAACCAATGCCTTTAGAGAAAAAGAAGAAAAAAATAATGTTCAAGTTGATTCAAGAAAGCAAATGGTTTCCTCTTCAAAATAAGTTTTTCGTTCTAAATTATTATTCAATTTATTTTCTGAGAATTAAGTAGCATGGAAAAAAAGTACTATAGAAAAAAAGGATTCCAGTTTTCCTAAGTCATTACTTAAGAAGCATATGCATTAATAGATCACAATTGAAACAGTCTGAAAGCTGTATTTCAATACAGTTGGTCCTTGGTAACCCTGGGTATTATATATATATATATATATATATATATATATATATATATATATATATTTTTTTTTTTTTTTTTTTTTTTTATTGATTTGGAGAGAGAGGGAAAGGGAGAGGGAGAAAGAGACAGAAACATCGATGAGAGGGAAATATCAACTGGCTGCCTCCTACACGTCCCCTACTTGAGATCAAGCCCACAACCTGGGCATGTGACCTCTTGGTGCATGGGTCAGCGCTCAACCCCTGAGCCACACTGGCCGGGTGGTATTTTATATATTTTAAAACACTGTTCTGGGAGAAGGTCCACAGGCCTCACCAAATAGCCATAAAGGCCTGTGACACAGAAAGATTAAAAACCAGTACCAAATTAATAGTTAATACCTGTGTTAAAATGTTCATGACCTCCTTTAAGTGATGAGTCTAAGAAAACCTACAGATCCTTGTCCCAGTTTACAGAAGACCACAGAGGATGCATAAGGGACAATGGTTCCTCCTCCTCCCGAAACAGCATTGTACCAAAGACCCAGCTTTCAATTCCAAAACGAAAGACTAGGTGTGCAACTGCCTCATCGCCACATCTTTTAGCTTAGCACAGAAAATGAGCACACTTACAGCCCAAATCTGTAGAGGCAAGCAATTTAGTGGAAGGTGAATAAGGATAGTTAAGTGAATGAGGAGATAAGGCGTTCAGACTTTATTCTAGGTGACACTTTTGTCTTATTTTATGTTTTGTTTAAAAAACTATTTTGGAAACAAGTAAATTTGTATAAAAAACATACTTTAAAACTCTTAAAGAATGGCAACACTCAAACACATGGAGGCTAAATAAAAGGAAAAAGAAAAAACTCTTACAAGACGTCCCACTGCCCTTCAGATAAGGCCCAATAAACATACCAAGTTTACCAAGCCCTCAACAGTAAGACATTTTTTTTACCTCTTTAGCCTCACCTTAATCCCCTTTCCTTCTCATAATCTATATTCTAGCCACACTTACTTCCTTTCTGCTACTCAAACAGGCCATGTTCTCCTTCCCCTAGACTTTCAACCATGTTACCCTCAGCTTGGCTAATTACTTCAAACCCTTCCAATCTGTTCAAATGCCACTCCTTCAGGGAGGCATTCCCCTGCTGTATACTCTTCTAAACTTTCATTAATCCTATCATAACACTCATCACATTTTATTGTAATGACCTGTTTCATTGTTCGCCTTCTCTGCAAAGCTGAAAGCCAGGCAAAGACAGGGTCTTGTTTACCACCAGGTTATCAGCTCTGAGCCCGACAAGCTGCAGTTCCTGGCAAGAGCTGGCAGAGGATGAATGAATGCATGAATTTGCTTGGAGACAGGTTTGAAGCATTCCTCTTTGTACATCTAAGAACCTTGAGCTATCCCTTCATGGCAATACCGTAACTTTGTGTGCCACCCATTTAAAATTATAATTTGTATTTAGCCTTCTCCTCTGTCTGGATTAATAAAATTGTATTACTTAGACACATTGTTATATAGTAAAATTGAAACCTAGTGGTGTTTTTTTTTTTTTTAAGTCTGAATGCAAAGGAATTGATTCTACTAGTTTCCAAAACCAAACATCCTTTAATAATCTATTTACTGGACATACTTTTTTTATCTTCACCCTAGGACATTTTTCAATATTTTGTTCAGATAGAGTGGGAGGGAGGGAGGGAGAGAGAGAGAGAGAAACATCGACGCGAAATGGACACATGGAGTGGTCGCCACCCGCACGACCCAACCAGGGCCAGGGACAAACTGCAACATGCCCTTAGTGGGAACCAAACCCCGGTCTCTCTGGACCGCAGGATGACGCTCTAACCGCTGAGCCAAACCTGCCAGGGCCCTAGACATACTTATAGTTCCCTTTATACAAAATATATTTTTCTTGGAAAGTATACAAATACCATTTAAAAATCAGTCCTTTTTCTATCTGCTTTATTGACAGGGTAGGTAGTTCTTTGCTTTTAGCCACTATTTTCTTCTTCACACAGTTAATAGTCTGTAAAACATGTAGTATTCAAGTGCACTAAAAATCAGTGGCTATTTTAAAGAGCTTTTAAAGGATCCTGTTTTAAAATTATAGTTTAAAAAGCAAAAGCTTCATTTTATTTTTAGATCACAAAATCCAATTAAAAAGTGACAATTACAATAAAACTATTTATTGATTTAAGTAAATGTGTTATATTAAAATACTTTTTCATCTTCTATACTCTTCATAATTCGATGGTATGGTTATTTTATATACCTTTACACAATACAGTTAAATCATTTTTTTTTTTAACTTAAATACTCTCTCTTAAAAGATAATAAAGGCCCTGGCCAGTTTGGCTCAGCGGTTGAGCATCGGCCTGCGGACCAGAGAGTCCCGGGTTCGGTTCCCACTAGGGGCACATAACACCACCACCAACAACAACAAAAAGACAGTAAAGAATTTAGAGACCTTGGAAGGTCGAGGGAGGATGAAGAGAGTAAAGAGGGTCAAATATATGGTGATAAAAGGAGACCAGACTTTGGGTGGTGAGCATACAACAGAATATATAGACAATGTATTATAAAATTGTATACCTGAGCCCTGGCCGGTTTGGCTCAGCGGTTAGAGCGTCAGCCTTTGGTCTGGAGAGACCCAGGTTCGGTTCCCGCTAAGGGCACGTACCTGGGTTGCAGTTTGTCCCCGGCCCTGATTGGGTCATGTGGGTGGTGACCACTCGGTGTGTCCCTTTCACATCGATGTTTCTCTCTCTCTCCCTCCCACTCTATCTGAACAAAATATCAAAAAATGTCCGGTTTGGCTCAGCAGTTGGAGCGACGGCCTGCGGACCAGAGAGTCCTGGGTTCGGTACGTGCTAAGGGCACGTACCAAAAAAAAAAAAAAAAAAAAAGGATGTTTCTGCCCTGGCCGGTTTGGCTCAGCGGTTAGAGCGTCGGCCTGCGGTCCTGAGAGACCCGGGTTCGGTTCCCGCTAAGGACATGTACCTCGGTTGCAGTTTGTCCCCGGCCCTGGTCGGTTGTGCGGGTGGCAGCCACTCGATGTGTTCCTTTCACGTCGATGTTTCTCTCTCTCTCTCTGTTCCTCTCTCTCCCTCCCACTCTACCTGAACAAAATAAAACGGAAAAATGTCCTCAGGTGAGGATAAAAAAAAAAAAAATGTCCTCGGGTGAGGATAAAAAAAAAAAAAAAATTCGTATACCTGAAACTTATATAATGTTATTAATCAATGTCACCCCAATAAATCTAATTTAAAAAAAGAATTTAGAGATCTTCATCAGTACTATAGGGAATTTCATAATGGCAAGTCACCTCCATTTTTCATAAACCATATATATATATATTTTTTTTTAATCCTCACCTGAGGACATTTTTCCATTTTTTGTTCGGATAGAGCGGGAGGGAGAGAGAGGAAGAAAGAGAGAGAGAAACATCGATGTGAAAGGGACACATCGAGTGGCTGCCACCCGCACGACCAACCAGGGCTGGGAACAAACTGCAACCGAGGTACGTGCCCTTAGCGGGAACCGAACCCGGGTCTTTCTCTACCACAGGCCGACGCTCCAACCGCTGAGCCAAACCGGCCAGGGCAAACCTTATATTTTAATGTCCAATTTCCAGAAAATAGGAATTTCGTAAGATTCGTAATTGCATGATACCATATTTAATTAATTCTAAAATGTACATTTTTTTCACATTTTGACAACTCTGAAATCAGGATGTATCTTACAATTGATGGTCTCCTAAAATTTATAATTGGCGGCATTTTTATTTTAGTGGTCTAAAAATAATGTTTCTTACAATTGATGGCATCTTAGACTAACTGGAATACAATAATTAAAATATTAAAAATTTTCTCTAATAATGCTTTCTGATCTAAATCACAGTACAGTTATAATTCAAACAATTTTAGAATCAAAAGTAAATGAACTTAAGATTCACATTTTTATGTTTTTAGAAAACTAGTGCCTAGCCTAAACTTGAGAAAATAGATAGCTGGAAGAAAACATTTCTTTTCAAAAAAAATTAGGAAAATTCTAAATTAGAAGCAGAAATACCAGAAATGAAAATTTTAAAAGGCTTGAAGATGTTCAGCAGTAGCTTCCAAGGAAGTGAAGGTATGAAAGAGCCCTAGAGCTTTTTATGAAAGAAACAAGTGTTAGGAACATGGCAGGGGAGAAGCAGAGAGCAAACTGTTTAGGAGGAAAAACGTTACATAGTATTAGTTCTCCCTCCTTCAGGAGGAATCCTTATCACCCTTCAAACAAAAATATGGTATAGGCAGTTGAAATCATCGTAATTAAATGTAAAATTATAAATATTCTTAATAAATTAAAAACCAACCTACCAGCATTGTCTTCCTTCTGGCTCAATCTGATTCCCCTTCAGGTAATCCTAGGATAGGGGCTTCTTTTCAGATCCCCAGTTTTTCATGTCGATCTTCTACCTCCCTGTGGCAACAATATTTTCTAATTAAAAGAGTCCTTTTGTGCCACAGGGAGGATTTCTGATGATATAACAAATATAAAAATTATCACAGCTCATCATAAAGCCAACTTAGTCTTGAGAGTGTTCAAGGAAGAAACTGGACTCATCTTATTTTTCAAGAGAGAAATCTGGTTTTATTTTTTTAAACTTCAATTTTAAAAACCTATACTTTCATTTATTTTTTTTAAAAGCACCGCTTTTATGTTGAATTATATAAAAATTCTTATCATTCATCTGCCTTTTCAATTAATCTAAACATAATTTTGTTGATCAAAAAAAAAGTTTTCTAAGTTTTCTTGGTAATTACTTACTAAGTCCAACTTTTTATGTTTTAATACCTGGTTAAAAACCAAAGTTCTGCCCTGGCCCGTTTGGCTCAGTGGTTAAAACATCAGCCAGCAAACCGGAGAGTCCCAGGTTCAGTTTCCGCTAAGGGCACATACCTCAACTGCAGTTTGTCCCCAGCCCCGGTTGGGGTCGTGTGGGTCGCAACCAGTCCATGAGTCTCTCTCACATCGATATTCCCCCCCACCCCCAACATCGGAAGATAAATGCAAAAACGTCCTCAGGTGAGGATAAAATAAAACAAAAACAAAAAACCCCAAAGTTCTGTTCCCAATGATCACAAGAGAGAAGAAGGAAGCTACCAGACCCCTTTCAGCCAATGTTAGTAAAGACTAGTAATTCTACTTGCACTACGTAACACAGTGTTAATTATGCTTAAAATGAACAACAACAAAAAAGCCAGCAGAAGTGTAGAAATACAGTAGCTACTATCCTCTCGCTGGTAAGATTATTGGTCATTTTCACTGTTTGTTTATTCTTTCCAATGCTTCTCAATTTTTCCAATGAGCATGTATTGCTTTCATTGTAAGAAGAAAAGAACAAATTTAGGTATAAGCAAGAATGATTAAAACCTAAGGTGATTTTAACATGATACTAATCTAAGTATGACATCATTATGGCTTTGATATATTTTAGATGACCATATTTATGTTTTTGGGTGACATGTTTTTATATTTTAAATAACCCAAAGGTATTCATTATTAAGCATATAAACAAAAAAACATGTAACATTTTACAGAGACGGTTCTTTTTTTTTTTTGGTACGTGCCCCTGGTGGGAACTGAACCCAGGACTCTCTGGTCCGCAGGCCGACACTCCAACTGCTGAGCCAAACCGGCCAGGGTGAGATGGTTCTTGATTATACTGCAATAGAAGTCAAAACTCAATTTGTTTCAGTCTGTACTTCCTAACAGTTATGTATAATACAATACACTATATTATATATGATATTTGACAAAATTAAAAAATGCGATTTGTCTTCAAGGGGTTTATATGCTCACCTTGAACACAAAAGGAGTATGCACAAGAACAGTATAAGAAAGTGAATGATCAGGTGCTTAAATCTGGGTGCTGTAACAGAAGATCAGGAAAGGGAGTGTTTAATGTAGGCCACATCACTGTGGGAAGTTTCCTGTAGTTGGGCCTTAAAGAACGGATACTACCTGAATACATTCTTGATAGAAAACCATTTGACCCAAAGTTCAGAAGCACAAACAGCACAGTCCATACCAGGGGGAGTAAGAAAAACAGCACGAATACAGTGTTTCAGTAGATAAGGAGACCAGATTAAGAAGGAGCAATTTCTGGATGATTCTGTGGGTCAATGAATTTAGCAGAGGAGTGGCCTTTGAAGTCTGATAAATAAAGATCTTCAGGGAATGATAAACATAGTCGTCAAAGACAAGTACGTTAAGGAAGGAACAACAAGCAAAAGGTACAGACTGAAGGTATAAAGTATTTTTCTTTTTTTTTTTAATCCTCACCCGAGGATATTTTTCCATTTTTTGTACAGATAGAGTGGGAGAAAGGGAGAGGAAGGGAGAGAGAGAGAGAAACGTGAAGGGACACATCGAGTGGCTGCCACCCGCACGACCAACCAGGGCTGGGGACAAACTGCAACCGAAGTACGTGCCCTGAGCGGGAACCAAACCTGGGTCTCTCCGGACCGCAGGCCCAAATCAGTCACTCCTTGACCTTTCTTTACTAAGCTTCAGGTGTACTATATAGCTTCCATTTGCCCTCCAGATCTAGTCTCCACCTTTCTTCACTCTGCTGTCTGTCCTGGGAGGCTGACTTCATCAACAGAGCTCACCTGGGCTCACACTGGGTTTGGTCAATGGAGTGACTTGAAAGGGGACTGATTAGAGGGATGAAGGGAAATGAACTCAGAGTATTTATTCCCTGGCTTGCTCTGTGTGGCATCGCCCTCAAGCCAGCTGTGTCCTTTGACCGACAGTCCCAGATTCTCCCACGGTGACCCTCTCTCCAGGGCTCTGGTAACCCCCCTCTCCCTTTGGCCCGAGAACCAAAGGACAGAAACAGCTCTGTCATTGCTAGGTCTGGAATACCACCCTGTCTCTATGGTGACCCTACGCTTGCCTACCTACTTATAACTAGCCATGTATTAAAATGTTTCTTAGATTATCCTAATTTGAGTATGCCATCTCTTTTGTGTTGGAATCCTAACTATACATTTGTCAGGGTCCCATATTTAAATACCTGAATATGTCCCCTTAGATGCTCTACTTCAACTCAAAATCAACACTCCTATTACCAAGCTCACCTGCTTCCCGAAACAGTCTTGCCTTCCTCAAAACTCTACATGATACTGTACTATCACTTAGTGTCAAAAAACTGAGTCATCTCTTAACTATGCCTCTACCCTTATTCTATCACATCTTGTTAGACCTTACCTAGTAGTAGAGCCTATATAAGCCCCTTCTGTTCCTATTACTGCTCACCTTGCTTTAATACTTCCCAAGTTACCCCTGGACTTATACCGCAGCAGCTAGCCTTCCTGCCTCATCCTGTCCCCTACAATTCATTCTCTACTGAAATATGAATACATAGCACTTTCCACTCAAAACTTCTCAAATATTTCTGTATTTTATATACTTAATAACTAATCTTGGGTTCAAATCACAATCTAATCACAACTTTTTTAAAGTATGTTTTTATTGATTTTTTTTTTTAGAGAAAGAGAGATAGAAACATCCGTGTGAGAGAGAAACATCAATCAGCTGCTTCCTGCACACTCCCCACTGGGGATTGAGCCCACAACCCCAGCATGTTCCCTGACCAGGAATCGAACCGGGACCTCTCAGTCCATGGAATAACGCTCCATCCACTGAGCCACACCAGCTGGGCTAATCACAACTCTTAAAGGAACCTCTTGTCAATGTCTTGTTTACCCAGTATCATCTAAACATGCCTTGAAATTTAGTCTGAAGTGCCTGTCCATCCAAATCCTACCAACTGTCCTCCTTTTTCACTTTCTCTAAAACATTCCCTAATTCTGTAAATTGAACTTTCCTCTGAAACGTGTTAAAAACAGTGGCCCTGCACATAAAAAATGCAAAGTACTTATTAATACATTCTCATAAATTTAAGTGAAAAGTTCGGAGAATACAGTAAGTTAAGATGCAAGATGAAGGGGCAGATTCTAAACAGCTCAATCTTCTCAGACAAGTCTTAAAAGATTTCTATCAAAACTTATCTATGATTGCCCTGACCAGAGAGTTCAGTTGGTTGAAGCTTCGGCCCGATGTCGCCAAGGTGACAGGTTCAATCCCTGGTCAGGACACATACAAGATTCAACAAACGACCCTGGCCGTTTTGGCTCAGCAGTTGGAGCGTCAGCCTGCAGTCCAGAGAGACCCTGGTTGGGTTCCTGCTAGGGGCACGTACCTCAGTTGCGGTTTGTCCCTAGCCCTGATTGGGTTGTGAGGGCCACTGGTGACCACTCGATGTTTTACGTTGTTGTTTCTCTCTCTCTCTCTCCTTCCCACTCTATCTGAACAAAAAATGGAGAAATGTCCTCGGGTGAAGATAAAAAAAAAAAAAAAGGGGGATCAACAAATGAATGCATAAATAAGTAAAACAACAAATCTATCTCTTTCTCTCTCAAATCAATAAATAAAAAAAAATTTTAACTATCTATTATTGCCCTGGCTGGTTTGGCTCAGCAGTTAGGGCACTGACCTGTGGACCGAAGGGTTGCAGGTTCGATTCCTGGTCAAGGGCATGTACCTGGGTTGCAGTTTAGATCCCCAGCCCCAGTTGGGGTCATGCAGGAGGCAACCAATCAATGTGTCTCTCTTACAGGATGTTTCTCTCTCTCTCTCTCCACCCCCCTTCCTCCCTTCCACTCTATCTAAAAATCAGTGGAAAAATATCTTCAGGTGAGGATTAACAACAAAAATTTTTTCTATTATTAATTGCTTTGGCATAAACTTGTTACTTTTCTTTTTTTTTTTTTTTTATCCTCACCCGAGGACATTTTTCCATTTTTTGTTCAGACAGAGTGGGAGGGAGAGAGAGGAAGAGAGAGAGAAACATCGATGTGAAGGGACACATCGAGTGGCTGCCACCCGCATGACCAACCAGGGCCGGGGACTAACTGCAACCGAGGTACATGCCCTTAGCGGGAACCGAACCCCGGTCTCTCTGTACCGCAGGCCGACACTCCAACCGCTGAGCCAAACTGGCCAGGGCAAACTTGTTACTTTTTAAATAGTAATCTGTAACAAACTTTTAAAGTTTACAGTCATATATGTTTTTTGAGTGAACATAAAAACTGCACTTTCAGTCTTAGTAGAGCACTCAAGAGACTCCTCTCCACCCCCAGCCAACCCCGTCCAAGCAGGAGCCTCCAGAACTGGTGGGACCCATGCCCGACAGGTATTTCCAACCTGCCGGTCAAGACCGCCCTTCATCCAGATTGCATTACTGTTCCTCAAAGGCTCTTCACAATTACTAATCCTGAAATATCATCAAAAAGCAGTTTATAGGTTTAGAGGAATATGCTTATTTTTAAAGTTTCAAAACATATTTGTTTTTTCCTATACATTTTAAGAGAGGATTACTATTACATGTAAGCTATGTGAGGGAAATGAAGACTTTTAGTCTACATTAAAAGGGAGAAGCAAAATAGCCTATAATTACACCTAACAAAATTAGAAATCATTTTATTAACAAAATAATGAAGATGGCTAAATATACATCATTATATGATTTTATACTCCTGCCTAGAAAACATCATGGACACTGTCTCTGGTATTGATATACACATATGGGTACATAGGAATAAAGAAAGAAAAACTTCAATGTGAACATGCAGAGAACTGACAGATCAATAAGTAGAATTATGAACTTTTTTTTTTCTTTTTTTGGTACGTGCCCCTAGCAGGAACCGAACCCGGGACTCTCTGGTCCACAGACCGATGCTCCACCCACTGAGCCAAACCGGACAGGGCGAATTATGAACATTTTTAGACGAATATACCCTAAATTATAATGTAGGAGCATTCCAGGAAGTGTTTCCTAGATGTACAAAAGGAAACCTTATTCTATGTGAATCTCATTTCCCCCAATTCTCCAAATAAAAGCTGCTGTAACCATCTTATAAATATTCTTCTACTTTTCTTCCCACTCGGCTTCTCTAAAATTTAGACATGTCTGGAATTTAAGTGAAAACTTATACCACAAGAAGCCTGATCCTACTCCACTACCTAAAAGTAAATGTTTTTATTAGGATAAGTCATAACAACCTTCATTCATTTGTATACGTTCTAAATGCCAGAAGAATGAAAATTTATTCAGATTTTAACACATTTAAAAAGGCATTTGACTCTTTAAATAAAACAAAACTATTTAACTATTGTAATCTATATATATTAACGATCCTTATAAAGTTACATTAAAAATCCATGAGCTATGCCCAGCCTGTGTGGCTCAGCGGATTGAGCATCGTCCCATGGACTGAGAGGTCCTGATCTGATTCCTGGTCAGGGCACATGCATGGGTTTTGAGCTCAATCCCCAGTAGAGAGTGTGGAGGAGGCAGCCGGTTGATGTATCTCTCTCACATCAATGTTTCTATCTCTCTCTAAAAAAAAAATCGATATAAACAGCCTAGCTGATGTAGCTCGGTGGGTGAGCGACAACCCCTGCACCAAGAGGTTCCTGGTTCGATTCCCAGTCAGGGCACATGCCCAGGTTGTGGGCCAAATTCCCAGTGGGGGACAAGCAGGAGGTGGCCAATCAATGTTCTCTCTCATCGATGTTTCTATCTCTCTCCCTCTCCCTTCCTCTCTCTAAAATCAATAAAAAAAATTATGCCCTGGTCAGTTTGGCTCAGCAATTAGAGCACTGGCCCTGAGACTGAAGGGTTGTGGGTTCGATTCCTGGTCAAGGGCACACACCTGGGTTGTAGGTTTGATCCCCAGCTCCAGTGGAGTTGTGTAGGAGACAACCAACTGAGGTGTTTCTCTCACATCAGTGTTTCTCTCTCACTCTCTCCCTCCCTCTCTTCCATTCTATCAAAAAAAAAAAAAAAAAATCAGTGGAAAATATCCTTGGGTGAGGATTAACAACAAAATTAAAATGAACTTCTTAGTACATTTAGACTATTTTAGAATAATGTGTCATTTACTAACATTTCCTTTTAGTATTAAAGAAAAATAAATCTAAAAAATGTTATCAAACGTTCAAAAACCTGTAAAATATCACAAAAGTAGCTGTTATTTTATTCAGACTTTGTATACCCTCTCTTTCAATATTACAATCACTCATATCTCTGCCCTGCAAATGACACCATCACCTCAGTGTTCAAGAAGATTAAGAAAATTAAGTTCTTTAAGTGGATTATATTTGCTTCCTACTTGGAACTGTTTTTACCTGAGTAATTTAAATTAATGAAGCACTGACCACCAATTGTACAACCAATAAGATTTAGCCGACCTACTCTGGTATTTTAATGTTGATAAATCATTTTGTGATAAAATAATTTTCTACTGATGCGAACTTGGCATTGTAGTTTTCACTTTTTACAGTTTCTAATTTGCTACCAAAATCATAATCTTCCTTATCCTTTTGAACATTTTCTAGAAATTTCACCTAAGTTCTACTTTTTTTGTTGTTGTTGTTAATCCTCCTCCGAGGATATTTTTCCATTGATTTTTTTTTATCCTCACCCGAGGACATTTTTCCATTTTTTGTTCAGATAGAGTGAAAGGGAGAGAGAGGAAGAGAGAGAGAAAGAAACATCAATGTGAAAGGGACACATCAAGTGGCTGCCACCTGCACGACCAACCAGGGTCAGGGACAAACTGCAACCGAGGTACGTGCCCTTAGCGGGAACCAAACCCGGGTCTCTCTGGACCGCAGGCCAATGCTCTAACCGCTGAGCCAAACCTGCCAGGACATCCAGTGATTTTTAAATAGACTAGAAGGGAGGGATGAGGAGGGAAGGAGAGACAGACAGACAGACACATCGACTGGTTGCCTCCTGCACTACCCCAACTGGGCCGGAGATCAAACCTTCAACCCAGGTACATGCCTTTAACGGGGAATTGAACCCAAGACCCTTCAGTCCAAGGGCCGATGATGCTCTAAGCACTGAGCCAAATCAGCCAGGGCAAGTTATACTTTTTTTCATTCAATTTGAACTATCCTACTGTTTGTTCTTGTGCTCTTTGTTTTCTGTTTAGTTATGCTCCTATAATAAAATCAGTTACAACAACTACTTCAAAATATTGTCACACATAATACTTTTAGCTGTTGTTCCTTACTGTTTTTCTCGAAAAGAAAATTCACGCCTGCCACTAGACTTCTGGCTTCTGACTGAGGAACCCTCCAAACTCTCAGAAAAACACATGCATCTTCCTGCCACTGGCATTATCTACTGTAAGTCTGGCACCAACACAGAACACGGTCATCAACCCCTCTGAAGTGCTTGGCAACCTGTTCTGAAAACGAACCGGTCACCACCCACATGGGGTTTACCGGCATTGTTGTCACCACTGCTCGGAAGAGCGAGGGAGCTTCCAGGCCGCAGCCCGACGAGTACGGCTGGAGGAAGAGCTGTGAGCCAGAAGCAGCTAACAGTCCTGGGTGAGCCACTGGGCCTGTGCGAGCAGGAAGGTGGCAACTACTCACAATTTTAAATCATGAGACTTTGCTACATTTATAGGAATTTATCTAAATGCTTAAGAATTTTATTAGTACTGTACACCAGGCATACGGATTCTTTTTCACCATTAGTAGCTATAATAATGCTTATTATTATAAAATAGTCATGACAATCCTTCTGGTAAAATACTCTTATTTTCTTTATGGAAATAAGAGTATTGGAAAAAATTAAAAGGTTTCTCCAAGAATTATACATACTAACCCACAATTTAACATATAGTTATCTCACCACAGACAGACTAAAATGCCACAATTTCTAAGAAGACAAAAAGGGAAGAAGAATCTGACAGACATACTGCAAAGATGTTTCTGACCTAAGAAAACAGGAATCATACTGTTCCACTGATACTGATTCAAAGAATCTCTAAATCTGTTCTAGAATGAGAATACTATATTTCTTTTTAAATTAAAAAAAGATTACCCTTTCCCTGGCCAGTGTGGTTCCGTGGTTGGAGTATCAGCCTGTGTACTGAAGGGTCACAGGTTCAATTTCCAATCAAGGGCACATAACTGGGTTGTAGGATCAATCCCTGGTCCCCGATGGATGTACCTAATGTTTCTTTCTTTCCGTCTCTCTCCCTCTCCCCCGCCCTCCCCTGCTCCCTTCCACTCTCTCTAAAAGCCAATGGAAAAAATATCCTCAGGGGAGAATTAACAAAACAAAAACACAACAAAGTTACCCTCATATACTAGCCTACTGACCTCTGTAAGAAAATAACAACTAGTCAATTTTCACACTCCCAGAAAAAACTGATAAAAATAATTTTATTATTGTGGGCCTGTAATTTTGTCCTTCGGTTCTGTGATACAAGATTCTGTTATACCTCAAAAATCATAATGGAGAACTTCTTATATCCACATAAATTCCCTTAATCAACAAGTGTTTCACTGATTTCCAATCTTTACTAAATAGCATTAAAAGGAGGGGTTTTGGTATATTATTCATCTGGCAATTGTAACTTTGGCATTTATAAAATGAGAAAGTTATAAACAGTAAACATTTGATGAGATGTCTACCTGTTTCCACATTCTCGGTCTCAACTTCTTGTTCTTCTGCCACATCTTGCATCATATAAGTCTCATCATCATAAACCAGAACCTGGGCTGCATAGCCCTGCTCTAATCTGGCACTTGGAACTGGCTCCACAATCACTGCTGGACATTCAGAAACCTTCCCACTTTCCTACAAGAGCAAATTTAAAAAACAATCAACCTTTTTATTCACAAATGCTGGCTGGATTCACTTATAAACCCTTGAGTTCATAAGAGTCTCAAGGAGTCCACACAATGAGTTTCATGTCTTATACATATGAATGTAAAATCCAAAACAAGAGATGAAAAGGGCTAACTTTAATAATCTGTTCAAGTCTCAACAGGTGAGACGTAGACTAAACATTTTAAATAATCAGGGCTTTAGGATTTAGAAGGCAAATTAAAAACATGCATATCATTTCACTCTCTCATGAAAGCTGGAAAAGGCTTTTAGACACACCCACAAAAAGAAGAGACAAAGGCTACAAAGGAGAAGAGAAGAGGGACGAAACCTTGGAAGGCTGCAAGTGGATGGGTAATATTATTAAGTGGTTTAGCGGACCCAGGAAAAGCCAATCACAGCCTGGCTGCAGAGCCACCTGAGAAACAGCACAGCACACTGGAGAATCCACAGAAGGCAATCCAACTACTTCTGGAAATGGAGCAGCAGCAGGTAATAGAGAAACGGGAGGAGGTTCAAACAAAGAGGAGGAGGTTCAAACAAGGAAAATCCCATTAAAGCTGTTTGAAAAGCACTCTGATTCCTAGATCCACTCCCTCCTCCATGATGCTGGACAACCAGCCTCTCCACCTCAGCAGAAGATTAGAGAGGGAGAAACAAGAGCATCTTTGAGGTATGTTAGGCACATTTGCTAGTATCAGTACTGTACCAAAAACAGTCTCCAATCAGCTTTTTAGTCCTCAACTTTCAATCATGAGCAGTCAAATACTGTTAGTTACCTAAGACACAGAATATATACACACATGCACATACATATATTCATATTCCTCACAGACATAAGATATTATATCTATAAAATAAGAACAGAATATAGTAAATAAATAACATTTAAAAATAAAGAGTTCTTAGAAATTAAAAACATGATGGTCAAAATGAAAAGACACAGACTTGGAAGATAAAATTCTCTGCGGTCTTCCAAGAAGCAGAGAAAAAAGGTAGAGCAATGGAAAATAGGAGTGAAAAGAACTATATCAGTGGACAGTCCAGGAGGTCCAAATCTGAATAACAGGAGTTCCAGAAAAAAGAAAATGGAGAGGGAGAGGGAGGTTGGAAAGAAATCAAAGCATTCTAGAAATTTTTCTAGAGCTTAAAGGACTCAAGCTCCCCATTTGAAAGGACCTACCAAGTGTTTAGTATAAAAAAATTAAGGGAGACCTACACTAAGGCACACCGTTGTGAAATATAATACTGGGGGCAAAAAGAAGATTCTACAAGCTACCAGAAAGGGAACACACGTCCCACACAAAGACGCAGGGCTCAGTTCAGTCTTCTCAACCATCACACTGGAAAGATGTCAATGAAGCCACTTCTTCAAAGTGACAAGGAAAATTATTTCCAACCTAGAATTTTTCACCCCAAACCATCTCATAAAACCAGAATAAAGGTTTCTTCTCCGACATGAAAGAGTTCGAAACGTTTACTTTCCCTGCATCCTTTCTCAAGTAGCAAATGGAAAGTGTTTTCCATCAAAAAAGAGTAAACTCTTAATTAAAAAAAGAAAAGATGACTTGGGATACAGAACACAGGAGCTCCAACCTGGGGGCGAGATGACAGTGCTCCTCAGGGAGGCCTGGGAAGAGAGATTCCACAGGCAGCTGTGCACTGGGCTTCAAGGGCAACCAGTCCAGCTGCAGCAATGTGACTCCTGACACAGCACGGAGATGGTCTCGGCCATCTCCGAGGCCAACGCTGACACTGTTCCTCAGCACAGAATGCCCAGAGCTAAGCCTGTTCCAGGTGTTCATTCATATCCAGCTTGCCTTGCTACCTGGGTCAGCTGAGAATATTCATTTCACCTTCCAGATGTGCTCCGCTTTGATACACTCCTAAGTGCTGAAAGAAGACCATAAAGGGTATAGAAACAAAAAATAAAGAACAACACTCTTTCCATGTGACCATATACCTGCTGAGCAAACATGTAATACAGGGTCCACACTGTAGCCCTTCCAGATTTCTGGACCAAGATGGCCCGATGTTTCCAACAGCTAACTCATGACACCGCTGACTGCCTGAGTAGAAAAAGCTCTTGAAAGTCAGTGAACCTGATGCTAAACTAGTCAGTCCTTTTCCTGGAAGCCTTTGTCTAACTATGGAAATGCTGTCCTTTCCTAACTCAGTTAGCTTAGTACGCTATTCAAAGTAAACAGTATGTCAATTAAGAATACATACACAGACAATAACACAATGAAGAAAAGAAACAGAACATAAGTCAGGATAACAGCACCTCTGGGGACAGACAGGGTAGCGATAAGAGAAAGGGAAACACTTTGTATTATAAAATATTGGTAATTTCTATTTTTTTAGTATGTTTCCTCACTGATTTTTTCAGAGAGAGAGAGAGAGAGAAAATCAATGTGAGAGAGAAGCATGGATCGCGGCCTCCTGCACGCCCCCTACTGAGGACTGAGTCCGCAACCCAGGCATGTGCCCAGACTGGAATGAAACTGGGACCTCTCAGTGCACGGGCCGACACCCAATCACAGAGCCACATCGGCTCTGCATTAAGTAATTTCTGTTTTTTAACCTGAGTGATAGGTAATATGTTTTTTGTTGTTGTTGTTATTCTTAGACTGAAACATATATATTTTATACACTCTTCATTTTGTATCAAACATTTCACAAAAAATATTTAAATAAATTACAAAGCAAAGATACAGCAAATTTAAAAAAGTACATGCTGAATATTAACAATGAATTTCCTACTCTGTATAAGTCAAAAAAAATATGAATCCAACTTTTTACCATTAAAAAATATTCTTCCCCACAAATTGAATATAACAACAGTTGAATCACCATGCCTCTTGCTCAGCTTTATAACCACAGCCTATAGGCAGTAACACCCAGCTACCAATTAGCTGTTCACGAGAAGCATGAGACAGGTAGACTAATGAGGTCTCCACTCATCAGAAACTCAGAAGCAGCATCACAGTAGCAGCTGAAGTAGTAGTAACCCAAGCACTGAATATTTTATTTATATATAATCAAAGGGACTTTTAACTTCTTTCATTCCTCTGAAATCTAATAGTACATTTAACAGTAACATTAATCTGAGATTATTTTATACTGTGAACCACCCATCCTCACCCTACCAAGTCAAATTTTCTAAAGCATGAAACACTTGAGAACTACAATTCTGCAGCAGGCCAATAATCTTCCCCACAATCAGACTTCTGGACCCACTCTTCTCTCTCCTGATTTTGTTTTAATAGTTCAGTGCTTCTTCCATTTAACCATAAAAAGCAAACATCTGTTTTATTTTTAAAAAGTCAGCCTGGCCGGGTGGCTCAGTTGATTGGAGCGTTGTCCCATACAACCAAAAGGTCGTGGGTTGGATTCCCAGTCAGGACACATACCTAGGTTGTGGGTTAGATCCCTGGTTGGGAGAAAACTGATCAATGTGTCCCTCTCTCTCTCTGCCCTCCCTCCTTCCCTACCTCCATCTCTTCACCTCTCTTTCTCTCTAAAATTAATAAACATATCCTTGGATGAGGATTTTTTTAAAAATTCTCTTCTTTCACCTGAACTCCAGATCTTTGCTCCTTATCCCTGTTTATCTACACATACCCTGTAATGTGGATTCCACCAACTCACTGAAACTATTCTCTCAAAATGTCAGTAAGAACCAAATTCTATTTGTTTTTATCCTCCTCTGCCATTCTGCAGACTATACACTGACCATCACCTCATTTAAAATTATTCCATCTTTTTTTCTCTTTCTAGAAACCGTTCTACTTTTAAGCATCTCCTCTGACTCTTCTTCCGTCTCCAGTGACTCAACTGTAGCCAACTTGCTAAGGTTTTGTCCTCAACATCTCCTTTCTTTTTACTCCACACTACTATCCCAGGCAAACCTACCCATTCTTACAGTTTTGAATAGCACCTCTATGCTGATGATTACTAAATATTTGCTTTCTACTCTGACCCATTTCCTAAACTCCAGGCCCAAATTTTAAACTACCAACTTAACATCACTACGGGAATATTCAGCTGATACTTCAAGCTTAACATGCCTACCTGGATCAAATGATCTGCATCTCTTCCTTATTCCCCTGCCCTGTGTTTTTCTCTAAACCTGTTTCTTCATATTTAAAAAAGAAATTATAATAATATTCATACTTAAAGTCCCTTGAAAATTAAATATGCAAAAATCAGTGACAGCTATTAATACACTGTGACAATAGTATTCAAACATACTATACTTGCCCTAAAATTTGGAGGACATTTTTTCACATTACAATCGAAATTGTTTGTATTCTTTGTGCAAAAAGCTTTCATGATTCCCCATTTGTCAAAAAGGAAAGTTTAACATACTAAACAATGGTTTAACACTCTTTGAAATATAACCCACAATCCACCTATTAAAGGTTGAATTGTGTCCCCCAAAAGATGGTGAAGCCCTAACCACCAGTGCCTGTGAATCTGAGTTTACTTGGAAACAGGGTCTTTGCAAGATGATCCAGTTAAGATGAGAACATTAGGATGAGCCCTAATCCAATATGAGCAGGTCTTTATAAAAAGGGCAAATTTTGACACAGAGAGACACACACAAAGGGAAGATGCTGTGAAGACCCAGGGAGAACACCATCTACAAGCCAAGGAGTGCCGGAAGCTACCGGATGCCAGGAGAGACACATGGAAGAGATTCTCCCTTACAGCCCCCAGAAGGAACCCACTCTGCCAACCTTGATTTTGAACTTCTAGCCTCTAGAAATGTGAGACAATAATTATCTTCTGTTTAAGCCACCAGGCTGACAGCCCCAAAGAACAAATATACCACCTTTACAGCCTTATTTCCTACATTACATCACTTAGCTTTTCGATTTCTTGCTTTGCCCCTAATTCCCAAATGTGAGAGCTCCCTCATGACTTTTTTTTTCTTATTTTATGGCCTGAAATAACCTTCCATATCTGACCAAACCCTTTTCATCCACTAAGGTCCAAGTTCCAGGGAGTCTTCTTATAATCCCCTAATCAGTTTTTCCATCCAAGTACTTCCAGAACAAGTCCTGCCTAATCATACCACTGTTCATTATCCTGCATTATAATTATCAGTTTACATATCCAACTCCTTCATAAGATGTCTGTGAGCAAGAGTGCTTATCTCTTAGTCAACTTATATCCCCCTCAACTGCATGCACTTTGTATAAACTGAAGTGGCATTTACATATTTGTAGCTTGATTCAAAGAATGATCAAGCTCAATACATTCTAATATCAAAAAGTATTCGTAGATTCAATATTTGCTAACCTACAATGCCAGGCAACTTCAAGAGGTTTTTCTCTGCCAAATGACAGGGACCAGAGGCCACTGCTACAGATATGCAGGTAATTAGTGCTTTGTACTTTGTACAGGAGTTAAGCTATTTTTACTGGGGAAGAAGGGTGGAAGAGGAAAGAATCAAGAGTATTCGTTTTACAAGAATATACTAAAAGCTCACACATCCACTTAATTATTTTACTTAGGATCACTATAATCTTGCTCAAGTCACCAAAATATGCAATCATTAGAGCATGCACACCAGATTCAGTGGGTCCTGGCCACAACCTACCTCGTTCCCCAGGAGCTAAGGTTGTCAGACTCAGCAGATAAAAGCACAAAATATCCAGTTAAACTTGAATTTCAGATAAACAATGAGTAAGTATAAGGCAGTTCCATGCAATATTTGGAGCATGCTTTTTAAAAAAATGTTTTTATTACTTTGTTTTTAGAGAGAGAGAGAGAGAAACATTGATCGGCTGCCTCCTACACGTCCCCCCCACTGGGGATCGAGCCCACAACCCTGGCATGTGCCCTGACCCAGAATTGAACCAAACCTCTCAGTCTATGGGAGGATGCTCAACCCACTGAGCCACACCAGCCAGGCTGGAACATCCTTAAAGTAAAAAGTTATTTGTTTATCTGAAATTCAGATTTATCAGGACAGCCTGTATTTTATCTGGCAACCCTACTATAAGCACTAACAGTGGCCTCAAAAAACATCCATTCAAAGAGAGAGACTCTTAGTGTAAAGAGGCAGGACAAGTACAACACTGCAGTGTTCACCAAGAAAGCGCTTTTATAAAGCACGCAAGTCATTGCTCTCCAGGTAGCAGGAGTTTCCTAGGATAAATACCATAAAATGGCTGAAGGCAGTGGCACTGTAATCCTTTTATCACTATTGGAAATACATTGAAAGACATGAAATTCTGTTGTATTTTAAAAACAATAAATCTGTTTCAAGTTTCTTCTTTTGTGATAGAGTAAGGCCACCTTCAAAGCCTTATCAAAAATGAAACATAAAGTGTGGCAGACGCAGGGAGACTAATCTCTCCTCAACTGTTACCCCCAGAAGCCACTCCAAATAAATGTCACTACAATAAATTCAGTGTGCTTGCTATGCAAACACTGCTTTAAGACAAGTCCCCTAGCAAGATGGCAGGAGGTAAACGCAGAATCGGGTCCTCCCACAACCACATTAAAGTTACAACTAAACTACAGCACAACCATCATTCAGAACCACCTGACATCGAGCTGAATGAAGTCGTACAACTACGGACTTAAAGCAGCAGCCACATCCAGACTGGTAGGAGGCGGAGGGGACGGGCTGGGCCCACACCCACGTGTAGGGATAAAAATCAGGAGGACACCTCGGCTGGACAGGTCCTTTCTGAGGACTGAGGGGTCCCCGTCCCACACCAGGTGCCCCGCTCAGGGTTCCAGTGCCAGGAAGAGAATCCCCATCACTTCTGGCTGGAAAACCAGCGGGAACTGAGGCTCAGGGAGGCTGAGGCAGCTGGAGCCCCAGGCAGCTCCTTAAAGGGCCCGCGCACGGACTTATCAGACTCTCTCCCTCT